AAGACACCCCTCCCTGGACTCTCCCCAAATGGGTTTGGGGCAATCATTTCCTTCTTGGAAGTCTCTTGGCCATCTTTCCTGCTCCCACCAAGGCTCATTTTCTCCCTGTTGTTTTTTCCCAGTTACGCTCTCTCCCCATAGGCAGAAAATGATCCTGACCTTAGCCTTCCATGCAGAAAGCAGAAAGTCTCATTGCAGCTGTCAGACAAAATAATGGTTACTGGTCACTGCCCGCAGTTCATTTCCTTCCCTTGACGGTTTCTAGCCTTGGTAGTCATCTGCAGTTACCTTCACCAAAGCCCCTAATGACTTTTCCTGAGCTAATCTCAGACCCAAGGCTGCCTTCATTCTCCTTGCCTTTGGCTGCAAGCCACATTTCTTGTCCTTTAGGCTCACAGACTCCATCTTTTCCAAGAGGCCCTCCTATTTCTTCAGCTGTTTCCTCAAGCACTTCCTTTGAGGAATAGCTTCTCTACATGGTCTTGCAGTGCTATGAGTTTAGTTCTCTTCCCTTTTCTACCCTCTACATCTTAGACCTTGACTATCTCACTTGCAAAGTCACATCCAGCCATTAATATGCTAACTTGCACACCTCCTTTGGCTTTTTCTCTTTAAAATCTCGAGAGTTTTTCTGAGAGTTCTTCACAAGACAGCACATTGCTCCACATTCAGTGTTCATCTTGATGGAAAACACTACATTAATCAGCCCTTCTTCATACACAGCAGTCCTGAGCTGGTGATAGGAGACGGAAACTGTTACGGTCACTACTGGCACAGGACACTTGGATAAGAATCCTGGGGCAGTTTGCAGGATACTTCTTCCAGAAGACCCCATCTTTTTCCTGAGGTGAAATCAGAAGCTGCCAGGATCTTCATCCCCTTCTTCTCTAACTAAATGCTCCTTTTACCACTGCCCACTTCAAGAGCTCTCCATGTTTTCTAACCAGCAATTAAAGGACCTTAGTTTCAGGAATTTTAAGAGCTCCCATGAGACACAAGAGAAACAGAATAGAGAAATGAGGATTGGAAAAGAAAGTACTGCTTCTTTCATTACTGAAAGGATTGGCAAAACGTGTGCAATGCTCGCACAGCAAGTGATGAGTACTGAAGATGACAGTGTAAGCCACACAACTACTCACAATGATGGCAAGAGCTCATTTTTCATATGCCACTCAAAATCAAGGCCAAAGAGTCAGATTCAGAGGGGCCTCTAAGTCAGCAGGTCACTGCATGTTCTGCTCCCCTGGATTCATACCTCTCTGAGCTTGTCTTAGCCCTCCTGCAGAGCCAAGGGGAGTTCTGAGCAAGTGGAAATTTCATCTATAATTCCTGTGCACTGACCATTTTAATGAAAAGCTTCACCTTGCCAGCATAACACTCTTTAAATTGACCATCCTTGCAATACTTGCATCTTTTAATCAGCTGTCTCTCATAAAACTGGCTAACCTTTCAGTTCATTATGTTCTTCAGATTATTGCTATGCTCTTAAAATCATTGTTCTGCATTTGCAGAGTGAAACTATTCACCAAATTAGTATGTCATATCTGAGCTGCAAATTTCTATCTCCTCACTTAAGAAGAATTGACTTGCCAAGATACAATGAAAAGAAGATCAATAATTATAGACTCTAATTTGCCATAGATTTCTTAAACTTTGCTTCCTGCTGTTGTGTCCTCAATAGTTATGGTCAAAGATGCATCCTTGCAATCTGTTCTAGCTACATTACATATCTCTTTATCTTCCAAACATCCAAAGTAAACCAGCTGGAAACGCTGCACTTACTGCTACCAGCAAAGACTGTATCTATCTACATAACTGTGCCCTCAAGAGGTTACAGACAGCATAACTTTCACCTGGGTTGTCAGTATGTCAAAGCACTCCAACAGAAATGCTCCTGAAGCGTCTTGCTGAGATACTGCAGCAGCAGTTTGACCACTGAAGAAGTGGCTGGACTTCGGGTACTTCTTGTTGCCCAAACTGCCTTAGTAGAAGCTTAGAGGAAGCTAATGATAGCACTGTTTCTCATGTAAGCAATTGCTGCAACAGCTACAGCCTTGCCACGTGATTATACATGGGAAAGGAAGTGGTTCCTAAAATTGCAAATGGAAAAGACTGTGATGCAACCTTTTTGTTAGGAACATAAACTCAGCTTATCCCAGAGTCAACATAAAATATATGTATGCTGCTTAGGCAGGATTGTCTGAAATATCACATACAAAGTACATAAAAACAACCAATATCTAAAGAGCCATTCCGGGTCCGCACGGACCTGCAGTTTCTTGCAGGCTCTGCCATTCAATTTTTATGATAAGAGCAGATTTGTGCCATAAGCACTCATGAATAATTCCGTCGCGTGAGTTGCCACATACAACTGGGGAAATCCCAGCTGTAAAACCTTGGCACAGTTCAGCTAGTGCAAGCTGCACTGCTTCTGCACAGGTGCTATTCCACTGACCTACTTGGAGTTCCCTCTCTTTGTTACTGCTGGAAGAAGAGGATCAGGCTGTTTGCTCAGCACCTCTGGTAAATATGCCTCTCTGCCACCTTTCATGGCAGTAAAAATGCTTCCAGTATTGGATGAAGGAGTTTCAGCAACTCATAGGGCAGCCTACATCTCACCCACCCACAGGCCTCCCTGCTCTCAGTTGGCTTAGCTACTCATCAATCCATGATTTTAAACCCTACTGGGAAACCTACTTAGATCCTAGACTAACAGAACACCATTATAACTTCAAACCAGCTATGCTGAATATGCCTACGCAGGTTTCTAACTTCAAGAAAAACACAGTTTATTCAAACACTCATCCTCTACCACTGTCTGCAGCAGCTATGTTGGTGCAGGTGACCAGGATGAGAAGAAACAGAAAGTGAAACCATTACCCACCTCCTTGCCCAAACGCAGGGAAAGGAACGGAACAGAACATGAGTTACAGGCACCACTCAGTGCACTGTTTATTTTTCCCTGGGCTTTTCCTTCATAATAATAATGGTAGAAGGTTCTTTTAACCCCAATAAAAATATTTGCGAGGGTTATATTTGGCTAGATCTCCAGCTGGAGGCCAATTACAGTGGCAATCACAATAGTCAAAGCACACCTCATGGTATATACCTCAACCTATAACCATTGTATGGGGAACAAAGACCCACATTCCTGTATAGCAAATAACCCCAACAGCTCATGGCTTGACTTAAAACAACCTAATGATTATAATGCCTAACGTCAACATCTGTGTAAATGCAGCTATGTCATTTAAACAATGGAGCTGTACTGATCGATAGCAGATGAAGATCTGGTGAAGGATGTAAGGATCTGATCTTTACCCCCATACGTGCCTTTAGACCAGCCAAAACACTGGCTTCAGCCACCTGGCCCCTCTCTGACATCCCCACAGACAGTTTTTAAGCAGGTTAAGAAATGATGGGTTCTCACTTTGTTCATTTCTTACACATTTCCAGCAGCGCTGAGTGAAATGAGAAACAACCATAAAACCCAGTAGAGGGGAAAATTGGACGTGCTGTGTAAATAATTTCTGAACTGTGAGTAAAGTTGCTGGCAATTTTCATTTCCTATCACAGGTTCACGTATCTTTGAATTGTCATCTCCTGAGATGCTCACTCCCTTCTAGAGGGAGGAGATGCAGCGTGGTTACATGAGTGGTCGTGGCACGGTCTGAAGGGTTCTCCTTAAGTGGAAGAACACCTGGGAGAAGAGCCCACATCTATGGCCCACACTGACATCCCGGTGCAGGGTCTCCAACACCTCCCATGTCCCCTTGTCCGTCTGTCCATCCACCCCACCATGTTTCACTATGGTGGCTGTAACCAGACCCAGGCATGCAGCACCACCAAACACAAATTAAAACCAGATGAGCAGAGCAGCAATTGGAAAGAGGGGGTGGTTAAAGCCCAAGCAGAGCCTGTGATGGCTCTCGGTGAAACTAGCCAGGCCACGTGGGCTCACAGAGCTTTGCTGAATTGAAAACCCTCTCCACGCCCTGGTTGCCTGTCCGGAGCTCTATAATGAAGCAGCCTTCCCGAAGCAGCAGCTTCCAGCAGAGTTAACTCTCAAGCAGCTGCTGCGTTTTCAAATTGTCAGCCAGATTAAACACAGGAATGCAATACTGAGGGAAGGGCGAATTGACAGGGTCAGTTTGCTCTAAAGTGCAGAAAATGCTCCAAAAGTCAGAGCCAGGGCTTCTGGCAGCCGGTGGAGAGCCACGCTAACACCGCCCAGCTGAAGGCCTGGCACAGGTTCCTTACAGGGCCTTGGCTGTGTCCCCTAAGCTGCACCCCAGCTGTGTTTGCATCTTGCATGTGGGATGGGAGCCCACTGTCCTATCTGGGTGCACCTCAATTTGGGGGGAGAAGGGCAGGAAATGGGCCCAGAAGGACTGCCCAAATGCACCTGAGCACATAAACTCATCCCCTAATGGAGGCAAGCGTACACCAAGTGGCATGAGGTGACAGTGAGTGCCACCGAGCCTTGTGTTGCTGATGACAGGGGAGAGTGATGATTTACTGGGAAAACAGCCCTATAAAAAACACACCAGAGTATCCTGCTTATTGTCTCGTACCCTTCAAACACTCCACAGCTAAAGCCATACAATTCGCAGGCTAAAAAAAGAATGGGAGGTGATTCTCCTACGCAGTGTCTAGACCGCAGCCTCCTCTAACCCCACCGGGCAGAATGGAGCCAGCAGCCTGGCAGGGCTCCTCCTCATGCCTCCTCTACCAGGGTTAAATATTCCCTCCCTGTCTTTAGCTCAAATGTGAGCTGAACCTCTCAGGAAGTTCTCAAAGGTCGTCCAACAACCAGGCATGGGGCTCAGTGCAAGAGCGACCGTAGGTGAGCAAGCCACATTCAAACACTCAGACAGCCACTCAGTGGTCAAGTGGCCAAGCCAAGCGGTCTGCCTCATACCTTCCTCTTCCCAAAGCCTCCACACCCATACAAATTAAGTGTGAAGATCCACACTGCAGCACAAGCAGGCAGCACTTACCTCCCAGGAACTGGATGCCTCCTGCCACCCTGCCCACGGTCCTGGAGATGAGCTCGGACACGCAGCAGCCCATGAGGGCAGTCAGGGCCACCAGGAGGAGCAGCCCGCAGCCCAGGCCCGTCACCACCGTGCAGATCCGCCACTCGGTGCTGGGGATGGCCTGGAAGGAGGCGTAGCGGCCGCACTGCTCCACCATGATGGTCGTTTGGCGGCTCTCATCTCGCACCGGGTAGGAGCACCTCCGGAAAGTGCCAAAGGAAACCGACTTCTCCAGTTGAGACCCCAAGAGCCAGTAGGGCATGAAGAAGCCCACACAGGATGCCGCTGCGCAGAGGAAGGAGAGGAAAGCCCAGACCACACCGGCGCAAGTGAGGCTGGAGGCCATCTTCACGTCTGCACCAAGCCCCTCGCAATGGAGAGACAGAAAGCCCTTCTGTATTTTAGAACGTTAGGGATAATCCAGAGTCTCTCAGCCTTGGCAAATCCTCACAACGAGAGAAGCTCGGATCCTAAAAGCCAGGGGGATGTTTCCTCCCATCATGAAGACAAAAGTCCCTGATTTAATAACAGAAAGGAGAAAAAGCCAAATTCAGTAACACTGACATTAGAAGAGTTTATCTGCCAGAGCATCTTCTCTTCCTCCAGCACTTCTCACGAAGACATCATACATCTCTGTCCCATTCCTGCAGCCACTAGCATCACTATGAGGGGGCAGCATGGGCACGCAGGCTGTGCTGCCCTGCCAGGGCTTCCCTGCTCACCTCTCACCCCTGCACGTCTTCACCTTCCCTCTGCTGATAGAGAAAAAGGCGAGGTCTCATTCATCCCTCCTCCTGCAACATGCTTTAGGCATGGCCTCACAGTTTCCGCGCAAACCGCTCACACTGCCTACAGCTTTTCAATCCCAGACCCCCGTGGCAGCGGTAAACCTCATTAACACAAAACCTCTTTGCCTCTTCCCAGCCCAAACGCAGCACCTTTAGCTCCTGCTCCTCCCGGACAACTCACAGCCTCCCAGCTCTGTGGTGCGTTTGCCTGTTTCAGGAAAGCTGCTTCCCAAAGGTTGGGGTATATTTCTTGTTAAATCCATCCTGGATTGCTGCTCTAACTGTGTCTGTAAATTTATGATCACCTCTCACAATTCCTATAAATGAATTCCGATGGCCATTTACAAGCGCTTTATTTTTTTTCTAAGCGTGAGTAGACAGCAATCAGTGCACTCAATTAATGTGCAGGCAATAAAATTAAAGCTCCCTTTGCACCAGGAGGGAACGCAGAGACAGTGCCTGTAAGTGAAATTAAGCGTGTGCACCACACAAAACTTTTGTTTACTTTTAAAACACTGAGAAGAAAAAAGAAAAAAAGAAAAAAAAAAAGTCTCTTCCATAAAGCTCAGAAAGGCCCGAGATGCAGAGAAGCCACACGCTCAGCTCTTAGCAGACACAGCCCATCTGCAGGAACGCCTTCCAACCTGCCAGAGCCCTAACCTCGGGGACAGAAACTTGGAGCGGGGCACGGGCCGCCTCCATCCCTCCGCAGGCATCTCCCGGGGAAGGACCCGCCCGCGTCTTGGCGTTCCACCAAACGTCTCCAGCAAAGTGGGTCACGGCACTCGGGGGAAATGGTTCCCTCAACTAGCGGGTGAGATCGGGATGGATACAGGGGCAGCACCCTTCCAACCCGCGGGGCAGCAGCTCCGCTCCACACCCCGGGCGCTGCCAGCCCACGCCCGGCACTCTCTCTGGGGCGTGGGATCGCCCCTCCGGCCCCAAAACCCCGCTCCTCCGCTCCGGGGTAGGAGGGGGCGGCCGAGAGCTCCGGGGCTCCCCGAGGGAGAGCGGGGGCCGGGAAGTGAAACTCGCCGGAGTGATGCGAGGAGAAGGCTGCGGAGTGCGAGGGGAGGGAAGGGGTACAGGGGAGAGCAGGGGAGCAAGAGGACGGGAGAAAGGGGCAGAAAGAGTGCGGAGTAGTGGGGAGATCCGAGAAGGATGGGGGCCTCGGAGGGGAAGGGGATGCAGGACAGGAAGGGGAGAGCGGGGAGCCGGGAGCAGAAAGGGGTCCGCAGAGTTCGGTGGAACGGGAAAGGGATGCGGCTGCTGGCCGGCGGGGCGGGGAGCGAGCGGGGCGGGGATGCAGCCGGGGAGAGCCGGGCTCGAGGGGCGCGGGAGGCCGGGGGAAGCCACAGGGAGCCGGGATACTTACTCGCACGCCGAGGTCTGGGGCTGCCGCCGCGGGTGCCGGCAGCACATGGGCGCGGGGCCCGCTGCGGAGCCGGCGGGTGGCGGCCGCCCCAAGCGACTCTCGCCGCGGTCCCGGAGCGGAGGCGACGCGGGCGGGACCGGCACCGGGATCCTCCCCACACCACCCCGGCCCGTCCTTCCCTCCCTTCTCCGCACGTCTGATTCCTCGGGAGGCACCGCACTCCGCCGCCTCTCCTCCCCCTTCCCCCGCCGCCGCCTCCCCGGGCGGGACTCGCCGCTGCCGGGGCCGGGGGCGAGGGGCCGGGAGGAGCCTCCCCGAGGCGTCCCGGGGCGGGGCTGGGGGTCCCGGGGGGAGTCCTGGCGTCCCGAGGCCGGGGGCGGCAAGGAGAGAATGGGGGAAAGGGCAGGGGAGGGGGAAAAAGCCGGCGGGGAGGGAGGGCTAACGGGGGGGGGGGGGGGGGGAAGACTGCAGCCTTTACATGGGAAAACACGGGCTAAGCGGGTGGTGTGCGTGTGAGCGGTGCGTGTGACTGTGTGTGTGCATGCGAGCTGCTGAGCCAGCGATTTGCTTCCGACAGTTTGTGCTACAGCCAGGGGCAATGCGAGCGGAGTACCGAGCAGCTCTTGCGGCTGGGGGAGGTCGGGCGGAGGGGTGGGAGCCTCCAGGTCTTGGCCAGGATCTGGGGTGAGAAAGTTTTGGGGAGGGGTTGTGAGGAGGGATGGTCTCCGCTGAGAGAGAGATTTCCTCTTTCTGCTTCTTCCTCCCCGCCCTGCAGCTGCGAAAGATTCCCTCCAACAGAAGACAATTTTATGCCGAGTTTAAATTATGTCGGCACCAGACAGGGAGAATCTCTTTGGTGATGTTTCTTTTACAGTCCAAGAACATCGCGTGTGATTTAAGTACTGATCATTAATATTATTAATGCTAAATGGAAGCGAGGTTTATTGCACTCAGTCTGTGTTTACACCATTTACTAGTACTAGTAACTAGTCATGTTCGAAATTAAATTACAAAGCCACTTGATTGGATGGGTGGTTTTTTTGTTTTGTTTTGTTTTGTTTTTAAAAAGAAGACTCTATTTTTGCCCTGTAACGTGAAGTCTTAAAATCAGAACATTAGTGGAAATGTATATTTTCTCAAAAGACAAAAAAAAAAAAAAAAAAAAAAAGGATTGAGAGTTATCTAGCAAAATCTAGTTTTCCATCCTATCATTTTAAGCATATTCCCCAAGGAAAAGTGGTTCAAATAAAAGAAGGTTAAATAAAAGCGCTTCAAATAAAAGAAGGTGAAATATTCTGTGTTTCTGTATTGGATGCAGCATGCTGTAGGGAGCCTGCTTTAGCAGAGGGTTGGACTCCATGATCTCCAGAGGTCCCTTCCAACCTGTACAGTTCTGTGATTCTGTGAAATCACAGAAATACAACTTTGGTGCTAGAAGATGTGTGTAGTGATGAGCTTTGCAAGGAAGGCAATAAATGCATAATCCCAAAACAACCACAGCCCCTCAGCTGCACACACAAAGGCTGTGTCTGTGTTGGCAAGTATCAGAGATTACAGAATCACAGAATGGCCCAGGTTGGAAGGGACTTCAAGGATCACGAAGCTCCAACCCCCCACCACATGCAGGGCCACCAACCTCCCCATTTAATACCAGACCAGGCTGCCCAGGGCCCCATCCAACCTGGCCTTGAACACCTCCAGGGATGAGGCATCCACAACCTCTCTGGGCAGCCTGTGCCAGCACCTCACCACTCTCTGTGAAGAACTTTCCCCTGACATCCAACCTAAATCTTCCCTCCCTCAACTTAAAACCATTTCCCCTTGTCCTGCTGTTATCTACCCTTTGAAAGAGTTGGTCAGCCTGTCCCAGTCACATAGTATGCTTTGGGCTGGAATGGACCTTGAAGATCATCTTATTCTACTCCCTAATCTGTTCAGCAAATCTGTTGGTGCTGAAGACCTGATGGATATTCCTGTGTTTCCACATGGTTTTCTTTTGATTTGCTACAGTCTAAGTCTCTAGCACTCAAGACCAATTAGATGCCCTTCTAAATCCTTGTCTTCAATAGCATCCACCCTGTGCACTCATCCCTGCTGGGTAAAATAAAATGTGGCTGAGCAAAGGATGATCTGGAGACTCATCCTGAAAGTGAGCCACACCAGAACATGAACACTGCTGTGCCCATAGGGTGGGTGACTGTCCCAGTGGTGAGAAGCAGAGCCTGCTCTGCAGCATGCCTTCCTAGCACCCTCCTCTCACACCAGCTCTGCACGTTTCCAGGCCTCCACCACAAAATGCCCCAGTGCTCAGCTCCACTTCTGCGAGCATCTGCATGCTGACCACTGTTGTGCCTCCAGTCAGAGCCTGGCTCGGGTGTTTCTCCTCCTGCTTCCCTTTTTGGGAAAAAAAAAGGACACCACCATGGGAACTGCGCTCTTGGTATGAAGAGAGAGAAGGAGAAAGTATTGTCATAAATTTGGAATTGCTTAAAGAACCAGTTTGGTGTTCTTTCATTAGCCCAAGGCCTTGGTTACAATGAAACAACGATAGATGTGTCTAAATTAAGCGCATTGGGATTAGGCAGGGGTAGAAATTGCTTGGTGTTAAAATGACTACAGGAAAACTTCTGTTTCACACATGTAAACAGTTTCTAGGTTACATCTGAGTTTGTAAATCTAGGGAGAACGAAACAAGTATGCATTTATTCATGCAATTTATCTCTTCCATGGTATATGCCAAGGTCCCCAAGTCAGTGTTTGCTTTGCTAATGGCATCTCTACAGCAGTCCATTTACTTCCCTTATATGGCCTTTATATTCACTCCCTGAGCTGCTGCCATTCTGCATTCCCTCATAGAGACTGCACACAGAGTTCTGCATCCCTCCTGAAGCATCTTATCTTGCCAGCTGTCTCCGAATGCCCCCGCAAGCTGGCCACATAGCTTATCCACTTGAATAAGATCTCTTTCCCCATCCGTTTGCTGTCAGAGAGACAAGTAGTTTTGTTTTGATTAGAAACAAATCAAACACATTGCATGTTTACGTAACTCTTATTCCTTTTTTTCCCTAATGTTTGCAATTCAGTGTGCTTCAACTATATCAACATTTGCTGTCTTTTCAGGGAACATTGTGCTTAGGTGTATTTTTACTGCGAAAGCCAAAATATTTCAATTTGTATTTAACCTGTAGATAAAATAATAAAAAGGGAGTTACTGCACAGTGCTTCTGGACCCATGATCTTTCCTATAACCACAAAAGCTGAGATTCCTCTGAGCAGAGCAATAGCAGAAGTCCTGATCCGCAGGGCCTTGTCTATTCTGAAATAGTAGCTGGTTTTAAAAGTGGCTCTGGTACTTGGAGATTTAACAGAATCCTCTTTTGAGAGAGCCTCCGAGTTGGTGGCAGGAATGTGAGATGTGGAATTCCCACTGCTGGCACCACCTGAAGTCAGACCAAATCAAATGCCTACCAACACACTGTCAGAAAACTACCATAGCAGGGAGATGGGAAAATATGCGTATAGATTTTACCATCTCTCTTCTCCCCGATCCATTGACTAAGCTGCTGTTACATCTGGGGCCCTACAGACTGGATCAGCACAGCAGAATGGAGAAAATCCTGTCACTGCACCTAAATCAACCCAGTTAATATACACATCACAGCCCCAGCCACAGAATCTTTCATTACAGCATATCCTGTAAGACAACCCACTGTCATATAAAATGCCACAGGGGAGTAGGAGTGTTCCTGAACTCCAAGGAAAATGAAATAGATAGCAAACTTCCATCTCATTTTTCCATCTTTAAGAATAAAAAGAAAAAAAAAAAAAAAAAAAAGCAGCTTTTCTTTCACAGGCCACCATCTGGTTTTCTCTTGTGTGGTCTGTAGGAGAGCGATAGTGCCTTCATGGTTCCGAGCATCTTACAAAACTGGATCTTCAGGTCATGTCTGCACTCGATTTTAAATGAAAAAGAAAGATGTAAGATGTAGGCACAACAATAGACTTGAGGCGATGTACTGGGAGCAGCAGAAAGTCAACTCAATTATTCAAATGCAGTCACTAAAAACCAAGCAGACAAATATTATGGGGAGCCATCTGATAATTAATACACTTACTTTAAATTCTGTCACAGCAGCAGGAAGAAAACAACAACTAATCATGCAAAAAAGTAGCACCTCAAGTCTAACACCTGTGAATTTCTCATCCAGAGGAAGGTAAGAAAACGAATTCAAATTGCTACATCTTAATACACCCAATGTGGTGCCTCTTCCAAGTAACACACATTGTACGTTTTCTACTGTGGGTGGAAGAGGACTCCAGAGATGCGAGGCTGTCACATCTGAACCTGAATCCTGGCCTAACAACTCAGCTCTGGGCAAAACATTCTCTCTTCTGTTCCTTTCCAATGCTATGTTACGATTAGGATTTATCTTTGTGATTGTTCTAAAGGTGGCAAATTTTACAAATCACATTGCTGAAAATTCATGAACAGAACATGCTTGTGAAGCTTGGATGTCTCAGTGAAAATACTGCTCTTGCTGCTAACCTCACTCTTCATCTCTGGACACACCTATATGTAAAGCATCAATCAGTAAGAGAAAAAAAGAAACATCCTTTATTATATGCAATAAACCCTCCTTAAGCTGCTTCGCTTTTAAAGCATTGTTACTTATTATGTAAGTAATATAACATAAAAGCCACCAGGTGCTCTGCACTTTTGCCAAATAGCAGTTGTAGCAAAACAAGCTCCTGATTATCTCTTTCATGTCCCGTTGCCAACAAGGCCCATGGTAGTGGGAGAGGCTCAGGAGGCTCATTGGGCACCAACTCTGCAGCTGAGGGAGGAAGATCAGGGAGTTCAGGATGGGTGTTAGGAAAAATTTCTGAGAATGAGCAGTGAGGACAGTGGCACGGTGAGAACAGGTAAGTGGTGGAGTCACCATTCTAGGTGCTCACGTGTAGATGTGGCACTGAGGGATGTGGTGAGTGGGCACAGTGGGGATGTGTTGGTGGTTCAACTTAGTGGTCTTTCCAACCTTAGCAATTCTATGATTCTGTGAATGCTTGCTCTGCCCTCACCAATGCCACAAAGATGCTATGGGACAACTGATCCCAGGCAAGTGCTCATTTGACAGGGAA